AAAAAAAAAAAAAAAAAAAAGATAAAAAAAAGCATGTCTAGTTTCCTAACCTGGGACAAATGGTGTTTACATTATATCATATTATTATATATCTTTATAACTCCAAGGGCCTTATATAATGTTCCTGCCTAGTTTCCACACAAGAAAACTGTGAGGTGTATTGAGATGAGAGAGAGAGTGACTAGCCCAAAGTCACCCAGCTAGATTTCATGCTGAAGAGAGAATTTAAGATCACTATTTCTAATCCAGCAATTTAACAAGTACACTTTAGTGGCTCTCTTTCAAACTTCACATAATTAGCAAACTATCTTAAAACTGCCAAAAGAGCATAGGGTATTTTCTATTTTTTAAATTATTCTTAGTGTTTATATCCTATGGTCTAATATATGTTAATTTTTATCAGGTGGAGGTTTTTTCTTCCCTTCAACGGTGTTTGATTCTCAGAGGCTGCTTGGACAAATCCCTGCAGTTTTCTTGGCAAGGTTTTTCAGAAGTAGTTTGCCATTGTGTCCTTCCTAGGGCTGAGGAAAAAAGTGACTGGCCCAATGTGCTTAAGACATCTCCAGGTTTCTACCCTAATGCCATAACCACTATACCAAACTGGCTCTTCAATCTGGTTCCAACTACGCCTGAATTTTAAGTGGGTGTGAGATGGTTTGTATCCTGGGGTGTTCTAACGTTAATTCAGTTTGACACAGCTTTGAGCTGGAGGAGGATGGAGCCTTCAGTAACCACAGCATGACTAGCCGATGATAAGTCATACACATTCCAATGGCTTGCTGGCTGGAGGAGGAGAGAAGTTGCAAAGCAACCAGCTCCCATCCTGTTTGGACATTGTGACTGATTGTTTCAGAAACTTAAGAAAACTGAAACTTATATTGGGATGAAAAGCCCGGGAACTTTAGTACTGGCTTTTCACCAGTTAGTGCCAATATGGTGTGTCCAAATAAATTTGTACTTTGAGAAATCAGAATGTCTCGGAGTTCAGTTTGTGATGGATGCATTAGTTGGAACCTGACACTTAGCAGTTGTCAATTGCTCTATTTCTTTTTCATCCACATAAGCTATTATCAGTCTAAGATCTACACTGCAGACAATATATTTTAGAAATAAATACTTGCGATTTTAAAAAATTATAGTACAATCCTAAATCCCACAGATACAAATGGGTCTCTTTTTCCCCAGGGACAAGACATTTCATGGCACCATGGCATAAATATTGCAGAGACTTTTAGATTTTTTTTTCATGGTGTTAATATTCTTTACCAATGAAATAAGGCTCTACTGAAATGACTAGAGCACCTAATGCATCATTGTTCAAACAGAGCCAAGAAGTCAAACGTTTTATTAGTTTCACCACAGACAACTGAGCATAGCAAACATTTGTCTTTTAACTACGGCTGCTGTATTTATGCCACAAATATAGGCAGAACACATAACTTTCGGCTCTTTGCCGCCACCTTGTGATGGTTCTGAGTTTTGCAGCAGACGATAAAAACAATATAAACACAGAACAATGGCACCTGAGGTAAAAAATAACTGTATTTTAAGGAGATGTGAGATACAAACGAAACAAGGGACAGGTGAATCTGAGGACCACAGCAGGTAGCATTATAAAAGATTTGGTTGCCAAGCCCATGGACAGCAACTCTGTTTGGTGGTTTGTTTGGTTTTTTTTTTTTTAGTGTGGGCATCTGTGCATGTGCTTATGCGTCACAATTATGAAGTAGAAGGCGGAAATGGGCGAGGTCGTTTGGAATTTTGTTGGGTTCCCTTCTTGAAAGCTTGGTGCGCTCCTCCGAGAAGGGAGAGGAGGAGGTGTGGGGACTGAGGAAAACTGGGGTTACTGGTCCGGGAGCTCACAGAGAATACGAGCTTTTCTTCTTTCACGACTCTGAGGGGATTGGGACAGAGGAAGAGTTTAAAGAGGTAGGAGAATTCCTGAAGTTTTTCTGAGAGGGAAGGGAGGTGATTGGTGAAACCAACTATGCTGTTGAGGAAAGGGTGCAAACACCCCACCAGATGCTCTTTGAAGAAGGTATAGTTGGTCGATGTGGTTGTGAAGGGGAGTGGAGCAGGTTGGCGAAGGGTGGTGCTATGATTAAATTAAGACGACCCTGCTGCCACACAGCACATCTGGATCGCCTGTCCCCCCCCCCCCCATGCCTCTGCCTCTGCCTGCTACCAGTGGTACTGCACTGTGAGCCAGGCGGCCATGCAGCACGTCTGGATCATCTGTCTCCCCCTTCCTCTGCCTACGTGCTCAGACTTACAGGTAACTACACTGCACCAAGGGGCTGTCAGGCCACGCCCATCCCCAGGCTTATTTTTGGGGTAGGGCTTATATTAGGCCCACCCAGTGGTGGGATTCAAATAATTTAACAACTGGTTCTCTGCCCTAATGACCAGCTGGGTAGGCGTGACTGGGTGGCCATGTGACTGGGTGGGCGTGTCCAACTCAACGTCACTCACGTCAAGGGGTGCTTCTCGCCTGGTCTCTCGTGACTGTGGGGATGCTGCAATGGTCATAAGTGTGAAAAATGGTCATAAGTCACTTTTTCCAGTGCCATTGTAACTTTGAATGGCCACTAAATGAACTGCTGTAACTCACCTGTACAAAAATACAAAAAGCTTCTTTGCTTGCAAAAAGCTGCCCTAAATACCAATCATTAGATTAAAAAGACCTGCAACCCAAAGCTACAAATCAGGCAGGGTGCCAGAGCACCTTGAGGAATTAAAATAGCTAAGATGCAATGATAACTATAAGGTAGTCAACTCTTGCTCATAAAGTGAAACCCTTTAGCAGAGAGGTCATTTAAGCTCTCCAGAAATAGCACGCCCAGGAGAAGCAATCCTTAGATCCATTTTCACCACTTAAAGATGCCAGCTGGTCTCACTCACCTCACAAGAAATCCTAAGGAAATTATCCAGATTTAAGGAAAGATCAGACCCCAAAAGGACAGTGCCAGGAACTACTAAAGTAGTGAAAGAAGACCCCCCCTCCCCAGATAGAAAACGAAACCATGAGGCAGGAAAAAATTCAAACACAATACAAATAATTAAATCAGTTTAAATCCTTTTAAAACTAAAACACAAGCCTTGTCTGGCTCATTGCCAGAGCTTACACCACAGGCAAGTTCAAGTGTAAACATTTGAGATAAGCCTAACTACAAAGAAAGCAATTAGTGCTAGAATGTAGCAAAAGAGCNTTTTGTTTTCTTTTTACTTATGGTCACTGGCTGTAATAATGTATCTCTCTCTTTAATATGCAACTACATTGTGTGAAAAGATGGTTTAAACTCAATATATGTCATGATGAATATTACTCCAATTAGGTTAAATATGAGGAATACTTTGTAACCATGCTTATATTCAGTTTCTGTGGCTGATGAACCAAAACTTGATGGTTCTGGTTTAGGCTATAAAGGAAGATATTGAATAATCTTACTGATTGCACTTTCTACTTTCAGACATGCTGGTATCTCTTGACTGTTCAGGTGCTGAGTCTCAGTTGAGCCATACTCCTCTGCCAGTGCCTGCCACCTTCAGGGAAACAGAATGCAGTTTTTCCATCAAAAAGACCCGCCAACCACTCAGCTATACCCTTCCTCCACGACCACGTCACAAGAGTACATTAACTGTGAGCCGAATTTTCTCTGACCGCCGTCTGCAGCCTTGGACCAAGCTCCAGCCACGTAGTGTTTCCTTTCATGACTTGCACAAGCAGAAATCGCCTCTACATAGTCATCTATATGATGCCTCTAAAAGAGAGTTGTTTTTCAAGCAATGTTTTCAGAAACTCAGCTGTTTGGGACGAGGATCTTTTGAGGAAGTATGCAAGCTAAGGGGTCATCAAGTAATGATTAGTGGCTGAAAATAAGATTACAGAAATTAATGGAGACTATATTAATGGACTGTAGTTGGGACAGCTAAATGAAAATTCCACATTCTGCAGGCCTACGTGGTGACTGGAAGAAAAGTATTGGGATCATATTCCACTTGCAAACCTCTTTGAAACATGCGGCAGACAACTCAAAGAAACATATTGAACTTTTGTTTAGGCAGCAGATAATTTCCTATATTTAAGTGTAACTTGTGCAATAGTTTGTTTGAAAGTACCTCTTATAGAAACTTTTGCATTTCAGATTAGGGTATTTTAAAAATTTGTGATTTAATTTTGGCTGCCTTAGCAATTAGAACAAATAGAACATTTATTTGCAGTCTAATTACTGATATAAACATTACTCCCTGTCAGAGAAAATTAATGATTTTGGCACAAAATGGTACCACTCCTCACTTGGCTATTGTGATTATCAGGTAGGATTCTTAATTTAAAGCATTCCCATGGACTGGCCAGGTTCCTCGCTCTTCTCTCTTACAGGTATGGTCTTGTGAAAATGGTCAGTTGTATGCAGTGACGCGTTCTGTGGAGCCTTTCCGGAGTGAGGGTGACAGGCAGCACAAATTGGCTGAGGTGCACAAGCATGAGCATGTGGGGCACAATCCCAACTGTGTGAGCTTTGTACAGGCNATACATACATACATATACATACATACATACATATACATACATACATATATACATGTACATATACATAAACATACATACATACATATACATACATATATACATGTACATATACATAAACATACACACACAATGATGGGTTTCAAATAATTTAACATGGTCATGTGACTGGGTGGGCGTGGCCAACTCATCACGTCTCTTCACCCATCCCCTCCCACCCAATCCTCATCTTGCCCGGCTTCTCCTCACTGTGTGCCTCGCCTAGTCATTCGCCTGGCCTTCGACTTCCAGGCTCCCGCCTGCTCGCCTGGTCTCCCAGCCACCCGCACCAGGAGGCTAGGAACTTCAATGTTGTATGTACTGTTGTAACACAGAAATTTGTGATACACCCTAAACATATGAGATTCAAATTATTGCTTTATTGTGATTAGAGTCTAATAATTATTTGTACAGCGCAATTCTATAGGCAAACAGAAATAACAAATACATTTTAACACATGGCACATAGATATCTTACATTATTAAGGTAATGGTTTCAGAAAGTGGTGGTAAAATAGCCCCAGTGAATTTAAGGAGGTAAAAAAAGGTTATTCCGTAGATAATCCAAAACATTGTCATAATTTTTTTGGAAAATGCCAAATGCCCAATGTTAATCAGTACAATACTATATTTTAGACTTCAAATGCCTTTTTTTAAAAAAGAAATCAAGGGCACTACTTACAATTATTTTCAGCTTTGTTACTGTAAAATCCTCCCAATCACTTTACTTTTCCCCGCTGACCAAAGGTTTGTTTTACCTGTGATGTCTCCATCCCTAAGAACTGAATCTAATATTTCTATTAAGAATTGCTTAAGGCTTGCCACAGATGCAAGTTGAGATGACCACAGCATTTTCCAGAGCCTAAGCTGAATGCTTCAGCCTCCATAGTCGCCTCCCAGCAGTAAGTGTACATGCCAAGCCTTGAACATTATTACCACATTAAAAGCATGCATTATGATACATGACAAAGTAAGCTCTTTGGAGAAGCAAACGCTTGCATATTATACAATGACCTCTGACTTAGAAATAAAAATATTTCTCATTAAATCACCAAGCTGGGGTCCTCGGTAAGGATCCCAAAGAGAAGAGGCACCTGCTTATATGCATCTCCAACCTTTGCCCGGGTAAAGGCAAAGAAAGGCGCGTTCAAAGGAGAAAAGGCCATTACATCCAGGAGAGGGAAGGGAGAGAAGCCAGGGGAGGCAGAGGGCCGCCGGGTTTCCCCAAGAAGCGGCCCAACGCACAACTTCCTTCCGTGCCTCAAAACTGAGCCCACCCACCAAGAGTGCGCCGGTGCTTGCTCACCCAGCTGTCATGACCATGTTATAAATAACTACAGTTGCAAGAAAAAGTATGTGAACCCCTTGGGATTATGTGGCATTTTGCATGAATTGCTCATAAAATGTGCTCTGAACTTCATTTAAGTCACAACAATAGAAAAACACAGTCTGCTGAACATAATACTACACAAACATAAGATGTTGCCATAGTTTAATTGAACATAACATGTAAACATTCACAGTGCAGGGAGGAAAAAGTATGTGAACCCCTTGGGATTATGTGGCATTTTGCATGAATTGCTCATAAAATGTGCTCTGAACTTCATTTAAGTCACAACAATAGAAAAACACAGTCTGCTGAACATAACACTACACAAACATAAGATGTTGCCATAGTTTAATTGAACATAACATGTAAACATTCACAGTGCAGGGAGGAAAAAGTATGTGAACCCCTTGGGATTATGTGGCATTTTGCATGAATTGCTCATAAAATGTGCTCTGAACTTCATCTAAGTCGCAACAATAGAAAAACACAGTCTGCTGAACATAACACTACACAAACATAAGATGTTGCCATAGTTTAATTGAACATAACATGTAAACATTCACAGTGCAGGGAGGAAAAAGTATGTGAACCCCTTGGGATTATGTGGCATTTTGCATGAATTGCTC